TTGTAAATTTCTAAAATATTTGATCTTAATAACAAATATTTGACTATTTAATCTATATCATATTAAGTTTAGGACAGACAAATAATATAAAAGCATTAATGCGATTTATGATTTCATTTCATAATTCGATTCTATATTAAATTAGCTTGACATGATAATGTTCTTGACTCGATTAGACTATTTATACATAAATATCCATTAATGAGCATTGCGCCATTTATTTACATAAATATGCAAATTAGGCTGTAATTTAAATTCAGCAAATATGCAGAAATGAGTTCAGTAATCAATATTACAACAGTAAATATGTATCTTCCGCAATGGGGATGGTGGTCTCCTATTACTAGCTCAAGACCTCTTCATTGTGTAGAAGCCAAGACAACGCTAAACTAATAAATTCGAGCTAAAGTAAAATAGTTCACAGTACGCTGTTCTACGTAACATCGCTATGGCAACCACCTTCTGTATCTTGCACATTGAAAACGATATAATAATATAGGTAAATTCCCGAACATGTAGGTTTACTCGCTTCGACGGTACATTCACAGGGGTTTCATTTACAATATCCCAACTATTTTAAGAAATAAAAAACATTAGGCAGCGTGATTATATTTCAAAGTATTTTATTTACTCCAGCACTATGAGTGGTATTTTAAAACTGACACATTTACCCGTCACTTATACATAACTTGTTATAGCTTGCGATGTTTTCGATACACGGACGTTATCCATGTGATTCCTGCGTTGATGTCAGAACTAACGAATCCGTCATATGAACCAAATTGATTGAATCACCTGTGGCGTTTCCACTTCCTCCTTTAACTCTTAATCATATCGTATTACCAGCGTCCTCGTTTAGTTGCATATGGTGTTGATCCACTGTAACCCAGGCAGCGTGCACCTGATGTAATATAAGCAATTCATTTGTGCTGGTATATGTAGTCACACCCTTTTCCATTATGTATCTGTATCAAGTCGATCTCCATGGAAACAATCCCCAACTATGTTCATTATAGTTCAATTTGTGTTTCCATTTGCTTGTCATTTTTGATTTGAAAGAAAATCTATTATTATTGACTTTTATTCCTATGAGACCTATTTCAGTTCAACACAATCGTGCAACGGACGTGACTCACTATTGACGCCTTTGTTCCCGTGACTGGTTTACAGGAAAGTGATTGAAACTAAAGTAGCGTAAATTATTTATGTTTAATCGTGTCAGTTAGTCATATTGGTAGTTCACTAATACTGTTGATATATCTGTATTGACCGACCATGATAACATATGAGATAAGGTTTACAATTGAAAAATTGAAACTAAAATGAAAAAATAATGAACGATTATCTTTTATAAATTATTGAATATAAGTAATCATCCAATCATCGGCGGTGAAGTTATTTGAGCGAGTAATTAAATCGAATGTAATGAAAACTATTTATAATGTTTGCTGATCGAATTATATATATAACAGATTTTCTCTGCCATTCTATGAAATCAGAATGCTTCACTCAATGTCGGGATTTGTGTTTGTACTAAAATACCTTTTGATCTAGAAATTGTGTTAGAATTGTTATGACTACCAATCCTGAAAGGCCATGTGACCTATTTACGTATGTTCTAGTGTTATCCCATCGTCTCCCTTGACGTAAACATAGAAACAGAATGCGTCCATAATTCTTCTATATTTGGAGGCGATGTCAATTATAACTTATTGTTCCAAAATTAACAAATAATTGTGTCAAAAAAACATTGTGGCAGAGGAAATTACGCCGTTCAAAAAGAATGACTGACCACGCCCTCAACTTCCATTTTCTATAGTGGAGGAAGTAGTTCAACTCCTATTCAACCCAAGTATGCTGTTTAAAATATCTTAATGAATATGTGTGCGTGATTTATAACAGTACAAGTGTGTGGTTTATAACCCTCATATGAACATTACTGTGTGGTTTATAACCCTCATTGCAATATGGTGTGGTTTATAAGCCTCATTTCAGTATAAGTGTGTGGTTTATAACCCTCATTTCAATATAAGTGTGTGGTTTATAACCCTCATTTCAATATAAGTGTATGGTTTATATCCTCATTTCAATATAAGTGTATAGTTTACAACCCTCATTTCAATATAAGTGTATGGTTTATAACCCCCATTTCAATATAAGTGTATGTTTTATATCCATCATTTCAATACAAGTGTGTGGTTTATAACCTTCATTTCAATATAAGTGTATAGTTTAAAACCCTCATTTCAATATAAGTGTGTGGTTTATAACCCTCCTTTCAATATAAGTGTGTGGTTTATAACCTTCATTTCAATATAAGTGTATAGTTTAAAACCCTCATTTCAATATAAGTGTGTGGTTTATAACCTTCATTTCAATATAAGTGTATAGTTTAAAACCCTCATTTCAATATAAGTGTGTGGTTTATAAGCCTCATTTCAATATAAGTGTATAGTTTAAAACCCTCATTTCAGTATAAGTGTATGGTTTAAAACCCTCATTTCAGTATAAGTGTGTGGCTTATAACCCTCATTTCAATATAAGTGTATAGTTTAAAACTCTCATTTCAATATGAGTGTGTGGTTTATAACCCTTATATGAATATAAGTATGTGGTATATAACCCTCATTTCAATATAAGTGTGTGGTTTATAACCTTCATTTCAATATAAGTGTATAGTTTAAAACCCTCATTTCAATATAAGTGTGTGGTTTATAACCCTCATTTCAATATAAGTGTGTGGTTTATAACCTTTATTTCAATATAAGTGTATGGTTTATATCCTCATTTCATTATATGTGTATAGTTTAAAACCCTCATTTCAATATGAGTGTGTGGTTTATAACCCTCATTTCAATATGAGTGTGTGGTTTATAACGTCCATATGAACATTACTGTGTGATTTATAAACCTCATTGCAATATAACTGTGTGGTTTATAAGCCTCATTTCAATATAGTGTATGGTTTATAACCCTCATATGAACATTACTGTGTGATTTATAACCCTCATTGCAATATAACTGTGTGGTTTTTAACCCTCATATGAATATAAGTGTGTGGTTTATAACCCTCATTTCAATATAAGTGTTTGGTTTATAATCTTAATATGAATATAAGTGTGTGATTTACATTCTGAATATGAATAAAATACACAATGTCCAAATGAATTAAAGCGTGGCGTATGAAGTATGAATCTGTTCCCTGTAGTAGTACATCTGTCATGAACTGTTAATGTAATGTTCATTCTCCGCTTATGTGGTTCATTTTGACATTTCGAATATATGTAGTTAGATGTATGGTACTTATCCCTAAAGGTGATGACAGAACGTGTTTTATTTAGCAACATGCCAATCAACCATATCTACGATAATTGCATAGAAGGTCGGGGCTATTGCAACGTAATGAATTACATTACAACCTGAACATGTACGCTCTATGGCACTAGTGTTGTCAAATCGTGCGAACAAATCACCCATCACTAGTGCGTGTTACATTTACGAAGGACATATCTGTATCCGATGAAGGCACCTAGGAGCATGAATAATGCGCTATATACTAGGGGGTAATTTACCGTGGAATACGCTGTTTTTGTGTAAGGAGGGAAAGTGACTCATCTTGATATAGAAAATCTCTTGTTATAATCAATATATTCCCATGGACTATTTTTGATATACTCATCTCCACCTTTACGGCTCCACTCGGAGACATAATCAAGTTTCACTGAATACGCAATCATTGTAAATTTCAACTGCCCAATTTGCAGCATGTTAATCTGTGCAAATACTATAACCACAAATATTATCACAAATCATTTTATTGTATCTTATCAACCCACATTTTTTTCCGAATACGATTACAAAAACCGGTCTGAGAGCGTTAACATTTTATAGAATTGTCACACAGTTTATTTGGTGCCTATCGGGATACGTGAGTATAAAAGTGCGTGCTTAATCATTTTAATTACGATAGGACGTTGTCATGGCGACGTCCTTGTGAACATATACGGCATGACGTAAGTGATGCTCGTTATAGCGTTGACCCATTGTCGGATTGAACAGCAGCGGTATTGTTATTGCTGCGCCCCAGGGCACGATAACAATGACGGACGGTAAGATCAACTGCAAGGCAACACTGAATACCAAAAAGTATTGAATTGACATGGCATTTGAGCGATACAACGTAAGCGTATGTTGTGAACCTCATTTGGTTATCTATCTTCAATCCACTCCCCGTATATTCGTCCACATACAACATCCAATATGTATATTAATACAAATATACGATTTAGTAACTTAACCCCAAGTTTCGGTTAATCTAATGTAACATTAGTAAGAGAAATCTACCACAGTATATTGTTTACATGCCCTGTTGACGCTTGCTGAAATGAAGAATCATCTTCTCGGCTCGATGCAATGAACGATGACTGTCCTCAATTATTCGTAACTAGTGTATTATAAGGAATGACTTCGCTCATCGATATACAGATTTACGAAAAAGGCAGGGTTGGTTGATAAAGGATGTAACATGAATTCTATAACAGTAGCTAAAATGGTCCAATCATCTTGCCCAGTATCGTTCACAAAATCATATTGCATTGTAATTTATTCACAGTTTTAATGTACAGCATTATGTCAAAAAGAATACTGTAATACACTGAAGTCAGTAAACCATAGACGCTATAGAATACGTATAAACATATATATTTATAAAAAACAAAAACAAAAATGCTGTCTGATTGTTGCACGAGCGCTTCGCTAAATAGCTAGATTTGGGTAAACAGTTGGGTTTATTATAAGTTAGTATAAGTATTTTTACAAAATTAAAACACACCCTTGTTGCTTTCAGTGTATAGTTTAATGAATGACTAGTTTTAAAATCCTATATTTATAAGATATACATATATATATTTATAAAAATAATGATAAATGATCTGCTGTATAAAGATTTTTATTTTAAATTCGGTATATTTAGATTCGTGAAAAAAGATGGCACTGGCGATTCAGTTTATAGGAGGCAACTGTTCCTCACGTTGTGCGAAGGTCGATGGGGATTGTGGCGGTGGTAGAACACAAGTTTCACTGACAGTCGATCGAAAGGACGGAATTGTTATATTAGTATTTGTGACGGAGTTTGAGCTTTCGTCAAAAACAGCTATGTCATCCATGCAGAAAAAATAACGAGCGAGAAAATTGACAAAGACCCGACGGAATCCGGCGTTAAGCCGTATATACAAGGCTGGTATGATAGCCGCGTCGCATGTGGCGAGCCAACACGATATCTTGAAAAAGATTGGATTGATGCAAAACTGACAAAACACCTTTATACATTGAACTGTGAAGTATGGTGTCCAACATACTATAAATACTCCCATAATTATTCCAAGTTTTTTGCACGCGCGCGCTTCAATGGAATCCTTTGATGCACCCAGCGTATTTTCGTTACTCTCGCGTTGTGCTGTGGCTGAGCTGTCAGTTTGATTTTCCATTGCAATGTGAACACGAAGTTTCCGTAACCTGGTTGCCTTGTAAATCTGGAAAAGTATGCAAATCATCAGGAAGTGAGGCAACCCGAATGAAAGTAATGCGTAACACATAACGGCGGAGGTGCTCCATTGTAGTATGCAGAGCGCGCCGTTTTCTGTTTGGATGAAATTATCATTGAGGTCATTTGTCGTGTTCCAGCCAGCAAAGACAGTGGTGAACGAGAAAACAAGGGCAAACGTCCACAGGGTCACTATCGCGCAACAGACCCTTGGTTTCGACATCCAGAATTTATATTGGAACGGTGACTTTATTGCAAGAAAACGGTCGATTGTTATCAGCACTAAGTTCAACATGGATGCTATAGCGCAGAGTAGATCCACCGAGATCCAAAGATTACACAATGTTTCACCCAAATACCACTGCCCAGACAAGTGATACACGGCACGAATCGGCATCACGATAAGCCCAGTTACAAAATCGGAGATGGCTAAACTTGTGATGATTAGGTTGGACGGAGTGCGTAGACGCTTGTATTTAAGCAATGCGTAAAATATCAAAGCATTCCCGAGTAGGGTGATGAGAATAATAGCAACTAGAATGGTTGCTAACGGGATTGTCGATTGCAGAGAATAGGAAGTTACGTCTCCAGGCTCCGGAGTGTGATCAACGTTTTCAGCTTGTTCAACCAATGTTGGTGATGTTGGTATGAGCTGATCATCCATGTCAAACACGCATTTGCGACGCTTTCAGTTTCTCGATATTCGACTCACATGACGAGATCTCTGACTGTTTGTTACAGCCATCAAAGCTGCAGCGATGGAGTAATATTTGACAAAGTCTTTGCATTTGCATAATCCGATTGCCACGGAAGACCTTCCACTTTTGAGATGCACCACAATCACTGCCCTGTCGTCGTATTGTAAGTAATACACGGAATGATATTTTGAATTAAAAATGTAATTGGCATTTAAATGCAAATGGCCGACACAAAACGCAGCATATTGTTGCCATGACTACATACCATTGCTGTGTTCACGCTGTGTCGAACTCCCACGAGAAATTGAATGAAGTATTTTCAATGCAAAACAAAGAAGCCAAATAACGAGGTGGAATAACACGTCACTAGACTCATATGTTTTAATGACACGTACATAGATGGCGAAACAATTAATAATAATTCGACTGTAATTTATCGTGTAAATTGACATAAAACGAAATGCGTTTACAAATATTTCAAATACATAGACCATCACCGTTCAACACATTCTAGCTTGGTTTCTGGTCAACACATAAGTCCGTTGAATAAAGAAAATGAACAATATTTAAAGCTTTTTTTCAAATGAAATATAGTAGCGAAATTGTCTAAATAATGTGTCACATTGATCAGTACATTGTAATTGTGTTGGGGCGGTAACACAGCGTGACCGGTTATGGAGCCGTGTACATATCGTTGGGTTACCCAATGATATGGTAAAAACTATGCCTACTATCGCCACTCAGCCACGGTAATGACTACTGGTTATGTTGCATGTAATCGTTGTATAAGCCATACATACTGTGTTTAGTCACATAGACTCGACCCTCAGCCGCAAATGAAAACATATACGAATTATCTGTTATGTTCGGTTCTTGGGAATTCGCACTTAATAAATAAAGGTGAATTTTGTTCTTAATTTTGTTTCAAATGCGTTAAAATCATTATTTTCTCAAAAAGGAAATAATACTCGTCAGAGTGTGTTCATGACAACCACAAGTACCCATTGTATAACTAAATATGTTATGGAAGCAAACTAAATGAATTGCTGACAACAATGTATAAACAGTGGTCATCACAATAATAGTTCAGTCGCTAGAATAGGTCGTCAATTGATCTTAATGTATGTAACATTTACTGTGAAAAGGGCCAAATATATTTTTTCACGATTCAACTCGTAGTATTTGTATGCCAATGCGTGCTTGTGTCAATGAACGCTCGGTGAAAGACCCTAGTCCATGTGCGCAGTACTTAGAGACATTGAGGAGACATTATTCTTGATCAATGGAGTACGGGGGAGAGGTTACTATTATTACAAATAGTACTCCACCAAAATTGATCGAACTGCCAATTGTATTGCAATAACACGTCTCCGGAGATAAGAAACACGTTTCAAGAGCAACAATCATGGATGTTTTTTTCCTGTTTTTTTTCAATCTAATCAACGCAGCAATTGTCTGTATGTATTTGTGTGTGATTTCACAATATATGTTTAGTTGAATGAAGAATTACATCCGCAAATCAAGCTAGTGTTAGCTAGTGTTACGGCATGGCAATGTCGTATATACTGTGTTTTTTAATCTTCATTTGAACTCGGAGCGAATACAAAAGAAAGCCTTCCTCAAAAATTAGAATTCAAAACAGGGGGTTAATCACAGATGACGTGCGATGCATGTAATTTCAATGTGTGGATGTATTTTACGGCTTCTTTTAATATCCATAATTTATATTAATCTGCTATAAATTATTCAACCACTAAACACGGACACAAACCATGCATTTTGCTCTGCATTATTATCAAATGTAGCTATACACTGCACCCCAATAATTGCCACATAAATGAGAAGTACGGTATACATGTGACATAATTATTCACCTTTATGTTTCAAAAAAACACCGCTACTCTGGATGAGTGATTTCAATCGATTTTCGATTTCGTGCAAACCACTTTTCTTTGACATCGCCACGATACATTTGCATGTTCGATTATTTACTAGTTGTATATGTGACATTTTAACAATGGATCAAAGGGGAAATGCCCGCGCCCATAACAAGCCACAATGTATGTTTTTTTTCCATTGTATGACATCATGGTATAAATTTTCCGCATTTGCATTTTAACACTCTCCGACAGTCAAAAAGTTCAAATGTGGTTAAACATGAAGAACACTTTAAAGTGATCAGCGAATAGCACGAAAGCAAGATTTTATCTAATCTTATCAGTTCAAGAACCGATTTTCGGCAGGCATCGAGTATGAACAAGAAATATTTTAGATCTATATTAGTTTAAATTATACATTAGTTTAATATCATCTTTTTGTCGCAATGTCACTTTACAATCATTATAACCACCATTGAGAAATTGACAGCAGAATGTAAATTTCAGTGGACTCTTAAATTAAGTTACTTTGTTTGTCCTTCAATGTCTGTTATAGTGAAGGTACACTTAACTGAAATATACAATCGTCTGTACTCTCAAAATAAAATGCGAAAATGGTCTCGTTGTCTGGACAGAATATCTGCATTTAATAAAACAGATTTAATACAGGATCGCTGTGACATATTTTATGTTTTTAGCTTGTACTGGGAGTGATGTTTCACATATTTTCGTAAAGGCAATTTTAATTATACCCACAATCCCACTCTATTAAGTTGGAATGTCCCCTGTTCCCGCGTACTCCATTTACAAACATGTGGATTTTATACACCTGTGTGATGTAATATGGTTTACCATATACAAATGAACACCAGCAATATTGATCATTCTAAGAGATCATTCTACGATACACGATTTGTTTTCTTCGTACATGAGGCATGGTATGTAAGAATGCAATTCTCATATCACATGCAGTTATTCAGATGTCAGGCTCAATACGTATTTAATTTAAGACGGGCGTTATTTGCCACTCACGATGGCTTGTTAGCAATATAATTGCCATAGGTTATTAACATTCGCGATCACATTTCACATTATCACCTTCGCTGTATCATTAACTATAACTTACGGGGCACTACAACGATGTTGAAATCAACTGGTATATACAATTATACCTCCATGTGCGCATGTTTTCGAAAAAAATATAACGATGACAATATTTCGCCTCTTGATGTGTCTATAATTATTCTTTTTAGTATGTGGAGTTGTTTTGCTGATTAATTTACTGATTTACTGATTAATGTACTTTTTTGAGAGAAAAACTTGTCACATAATATGTATATATTAGTCTTAATTTCCGTAGACCAGAATGAAAGCATACTAAAAATATTGCCATTTTTGTAATCCTTCTTGTAAGAAACTATATATCATTTTTCTCATATTTTCTCAAGCAAATATTTGAGATAGAAATATATGTCTTACTTAAAACGTCAGCATCGACAGCACGTTCTTCATGATCGTTGTAACACGATTTAATAAATTATTTATAATCACACAAAATATATAACAATCTGGCGTGCTTGGGTGAAAAAACAAACATTATGAACGCATATCACAAAACAACTGACGCATACGTTGCATTTCTGGCTCGAAAAAGCAGAATGGATTTCATGAATGACTTTCAATCCTATCACATCGGATATTTAATTAAATCAATTTCAATGCCACAATCAACGTCATCAAAATCCATGGGAACAAATCAAATCCTTGGTGAAGAAATCTATTAATTTGAAATGCATGATTAAAAATAGAGATCTACGCCAACAGTGAGATTAAGTCAAAAGCTAGAGTTTATTACCGCGGGAGGAAATGTCGGATGTAAAGCTCTTAGTGGTACAGATGCGGGTAGGCACTAAATATTGTTTGACTAATAGAGTTAACCTTAAAAGGGTTAACAATTATGTGAGGTGCTGTAGAAATTATATAGCTTGCGTTCGAACAACATGGCATTTGAACGACGAGCGGTTAAATCATTGTACTTTGTATTTGTGAACGAATTCGACAAATATTTCATATTTGCAAAAAAGAAAAAAAATATTTAGGACAAGCGATACATGCATGCACGGGAGATTCATTTGCATACTTTCGTTTTATCAAATAATAATGCTTTCATGGCTTTCTATAATTTTGACTATTTTGATGGGGATTAGTTGTAATCGAAATATATAATCTCTAACTGGATAATGAATAATTACAAAACAGTATCAGATTGACTTTGAACGCAAATGTTAAATTAGAAATATTATGTGGGAACAGGTGTCACACAAAACGCAAAAATACAAAAAATACACACTCAAATATAAATATATGAAGATTGCAAACCTTGTAAACGTTGTATTCATGTGAAGGTTATAAAACAACATCACATGTGTATTCACATGGAGGACATAAGCCACATCGTTGTATTTATATGGAGGGTATAACCCACAAATTTGTATTCATATGGAGGGTATAACCCACACATTTGTATTCATATGAAAGGTACAAGCCACACATTTGTATTTATATGGAGGGTATAAGCCACACATTTGTATTCATATGGAGGGTATAACCCATACATTTGTATTTATATGGAGGGTATAACCCACAAATTTGTATTCATATGGAGGGTATAACCCACAAATTTGTATTCATATGGAGGATATAAGCCACACATTTGTATTCATATGGAGGGTATAACCCACACATTTGTATTCATATGAAAGGTACAAGCCACACATTTGTATTTATATGGAGGGTATAAGCCACACATTTGTATTCATATGGAGGGTATAACCCACAAATTTGTATTCATATGGAGGGTATAAGCCACACATTTGTATTTATATGGAGGGTATAACCCATACATTTGTATTTATATGGAGGGTATAACCCACAAATTTGTATTCATATGGAGGGTATAACCCACAAATTTGTATTCATATGGAGGGTATAAGCCACACATTTGTATTTATATGGAGGGTATAACCCACACATTTGTATTTATATGGAGGGTATAACCCACACATTTGTATTTATATGGAGGGTACAAG